TTTTACTCCTATTGGCTTTAAATTCGGTTCATTGAATTTAATTGACCGTCTGCTTTTGATATGGAACTTCACATTTTTAAAGAAAAATTTATTGCTTATATATTAATTAATTTATCAAATATTTGTAATTAATGTATCCGATACCAAGTATTTAATTCATTTCTTTAAGATTAGCAATTAGGAAAACAGTTATTTATTTTGAGTTATTTTAAATTATTTTACGTGGTACCACTGGGTTGGCTCGATCGGTGTAGGACCACGCTCTCAGAGAATCAACGTGAATCACGAGAATATAATAATGTTCCATACATCTGTATTTTGATTCTGAATCGAGGATAAGCCGCAGATATAGAGCCGCAGCATTCACTTCTCATCAGGCGGACTTTGCGCTCGCTTGTCAAACTTGTTCTATATGAAAAAAAATATTAAAGCTTTTTTAGATTACGGGAAATCTCTTTACTATACTTTTATCAACTGAGCCACAGCATCTTCCTGATAAATATTTACATTAATGAAAAATACTAATTTAAAGCTAAATATTTCGCAAAAGGACTCCTGAATCGAAAAGATGTTGCTTCACAAACCCAGTGTTATTGAAAGACCTATCCAACGATGCCCCACATGATATAGAATAGACGGGTAAAAAACCATCTTCCCTTTACTAAAATATAAATGTTTTCTAAGATTTTATTTCACAGTTTTCTATGGGTGATTAATATCTATAACTATGCCAAATTACAGATTTTTAGCACCGAGGGTCTCTGAGCAAAACCGCTGACGGACGGAGATTGGGAGTGGCAGAAGAAGCATCAGAGTAGAATTAATTCATTAATAATGCGGCCATTAAGGAGTGTTTGAGGGGTGACTGAATGATGGGTGAGAAGTTGTGTGGTAAGAGAAAAGTGTGGTTTGCAAGAAGATGTTTTTTCCAGGATTAAGATGGGAATGATTCGGCGTTTTAGTGTTGTAGAAAGAATGAATGGGGAAAAAGTGACAAATCTATTTATGGTGCAGAAGTGAGTTACAAAATCAGCAAGAGGGATGCCCTGAATGTAATTTTATCAACTAAATTGGCAATATTATAGAAGATGGGCAAACTAAAAGTACCCTTAACCGACAAGCATGTATGCGTAAATAGAAATGAATGATGTGAAGCATAAATATGAAAATAAATTTATTTATTCGTGAAATAACATAAGTTTACGAACCTCTTTAAAACTCTACTTTGGAAGTAATAAGTTCGATGTTGTTCGTGACAAGAGTAAGCAATAATAAGAGACATCGTGACAAAGTATGGCAATAAAATTGTTTCGGAGCTTGAGTGTAGCACGCAACCTTTTCCTACGCAACTCACGTACAATCTTTGGCACATATCCTTCCTACTCACATGTCTTCATACGAAAATAATAAAGAAGTCTGCAGTTACACATAGCGATTGAAAATAAAATTCACTTGAAATTATCAGTAACATATTGCAGTAACTTTGTATAACATATCACTTAAAGTGATGCAAAAAACCCTATGCATCTAACTTATTTGCTACAAACAATATGATTTTAATTGCATATGTTTGCATCCAGCAGTGAAATTTTACGAGTTGATAAAGAAAAAAACAAGGAAAAAGTATGTGTGAATGAATACGTCGACAAGTTGAGCATGGTTTCAGCATCACTTGAAATGTAAGCAGCGATCCGTCTAACTTTCCTTGTTGGTCTGAGCAGCACGAGGAATCAAGAGTAAGCATAAAAAGAGACACTCCCTTACCCTATAATCTACAAAACCTCAAAATTTGGCTTAATACATAAAAGTATTAAACACATACAAAACAGTGTTTTAAGCAAAAATCACCTTCTGAGTGTAAAGATATCAACAAATCCTTCTCTGTTCTTATCTCTCACTGAGAGTCAAATATTCAATAATATTATTTCATACTTGGTTAAGATTAAAAATAAAATTATAATACATTTTATTTAATCGTAATATCGGTACATAAGTATAAAATAACTTTTATGTACCACAGTGACTAATCAATTTTAATTGGATTACGAGTTTGCTTGCTACGATTCTAAGTGGCATATATTAAAAAGTGTTCTGCGAATGTTAAATGAAAGATATTTACCGTATCCAACAAAACTGAAAACGCCAACACATTGCAGGCATAAGCTCTGTGTGTTTTAAAAGCAATTTCTACTTGTTTGCTATGTAAAACTACTTGTACAAGCAGAGTATAAAGTTTTCGTAGAAATATAAATGAACGAATGGATATACGGGTATGATTGAATGAAACTTGTTTTTTCTTAATATTCTTGACCTGTTTTCGATACACGTAACGAGTATATTACTATTCTATTATATGATTTAATTTAGTCTAATTATCTTTAAATATAATCGTTTAACTTGCATATTATATAAGTAACACAATCTTTTAAAGTTTGAGCTCAGTTCTAACAGTTAACACAGCTTACTGTAAACAAAGGTTTTACCTTTTTTGTTATCAATAATTTTAGCGATAGGCGATATTTTGTGTAAATTAAATATTCTTTATATTATTGAAAATTTTGATAGGATAAAACATCACGATTTTTTGAACGATGTTATCCTTTAGTCCCTTGAGATAGAGAAAAAGGCCTTGGATGCCGCGCGTGTAGACGCTTTGGAAGACGGACTCGCTTAAAAGCGGGACGGCTGAACTGAGTAAATGACACAAATACAAGTCTCTGAAAGATGACTACATATATGCGCCATTTGCTAGAGAGACTACGTAGTTACCAAGCGAGGCTACTACGGCAAATATCCCTCCTATGCGAAAATCTAAGAGAGAGGCTTATGTTCAGTAGTAAACTTCTATTATTTTAGATTCTACTATCGGGTCTGTCTACCCACGTTGAAGTTTCTTAGGGACATGTTGTGTTTGCGACTGGTTATTGCCGTTGGTGCCTAGGGGTAGGCTCTTTTATCGCCTAAAGGTTTACTACAGTCATTTACGGAGGCAACGTTGTTGGCTCTATGCTGCGGGGAGTAGGACTATATAAAAATTATTCATTATTATAAAATGATTAATATTATTATGAAAAGTTAATATGTGCAAGAATTATTAAAAACTCAATTAATTGAAATATGTTTTTCCTGCATGTTATAAGAATTACTGTGTTTGCTTTTTAAAATATTTTAGTTTTAATAATTGTATAACCGTTGGGATTATTACTATGCTCAAAATAAAATATAATTAAAGGGTAAAATGAAGATGATGATCTTTCCCAGCAGTATCCCAACCAACGCAACGCGTTTGTTTTACATACCTACGGCGATAAGGTTACAAACTTACAAAATACGGGGAGCTCTAATATGAAAAGTAAACAGGGATGGCTATGAGGAATTATTCTTTAAGAAACATCTAGGAGAGTTATCAGGCCTGGGCTGCGGCTTCGGCGACTCGGGATGTAAACACCAGCACACTTAAAAAGAAGTATAACTTCGCCTCCAGGTCCTTCAAAAGAGTTATTGCCAAGGCAAAGTCAGAGCACATAGGCAGAATTGGCGAGAAACTAGTTCGCCTTCCTTCGGGAACCCGTGCATTCTGGTCTCTCGCCAAGGCTGTCCAAGGGAATTTCTGTAAGCCATCACTACCATCTCTGCACAGGGAGGACGACTGACTGGCCCAAGACGCAAAAGAGAAAGCCGACCTTTTAGGCTCCCTTTTTGCGTTCAACTCAACTCTTGATGACGGGGGGAAAACACCGCCGACCATCCCGCGGTGTGTGTGCTCCATGCCGGATGTGCTGTTCTCACAGCACTCGGTTCGCAAAGCACTCCTCTCCCTGGACATCTAGAAGTCGAGTGGGCCTGTCGGAATCCCCCCAATTGTGCTGAGGACGTGTGCTCCGGAGTTGGCACCGGTCCTAACGCGTCTTTTCCGGTACTCCTACTCCCAAGGCGTAGTCCCGAATTCATGAAAGACAGCTTATGTCCACCCAATCCCTAAAAAAGGCGACCGCTCAGACCCGTCCTACTATAGGCCTATCGCGATCACCTCCTTGTTCTCCAAAATAATGGAATCAATTATTAACTGCCAGCTCATGCGGTACCTTGAGGATCACCAGCTGATTAGTGACCGCCAATACGGTTTTCTTCGGGGTCGATCAGCTGGTGATCTTCTGGTCTACCTGACCCATAGATGGGCAGAGGCAGTAGAGTCCAAGGGGTAGGCGTTGGCCGTTAGTTTGGACATTGCGAAGGCCTTCGATCGGGTTTGGCACAAAGCGCTTCTTTCGAAGCTCCCTTCCTATGGGCTTCCCGAGAAATTGTGCGATTGGATCACCAGATTCCTTGCAGATCGGAGCATCAAGGTCGTTGTAGACGGTGCATGCTCCGACTACATGCCTATTAACGCTGGTGTTTCACTAGGTTGTGTGCTATCACCAACGCTGTTTCTTCTGCATATCAATGATATGTTGCTAACTGGTAAGATTCATTGCTATGCGGATGACAACACTGGTGATGCTCTATACACCGGTCGTACCAATATTTCTCGGGAAAACGTCGCCGAATACCGGAACAAACTTGTGTCTGCAGTCGAGTCTTTGCTGAACAAAGTCTCGGATTGGGGGCGACTAAATCTAGTCCAGTTTAATCCTCAGAAGACACAAGTTTGCGCGTTTACAGCTAAAAAGAACCCCTTTGTCGTATCTACTCAGTTTCAAGGCACTCCCTTTCTTGCCTCAGCCAGTATCGGAATCCTCGGAGTCGACATATCAAGTGACGTGCAGTTTCGTGGTCCCTTGGAAGAGAAGGCCAAATTGGCCTCTAAAAAGCTTGGCGTGCTCAGCAGAGCGGGACAGTATTTCATGCCGGCACACCGCCTGCAACTTTACAAGGCGCAGGTTCGGCCTCACATTGAATACTGTTCCCATCTCTGGTGACGACGGAGGGTACGTCCGCCTGCAAATGTGATCAATGGGATCGCCTTTGCGGGTGTACACCCGGACGGTTTGGAAGCAGCGATGCATAAATTAATGTCTGCGCTCTGTCCGGATGACAGCACTGACTGCTACTCGCCTAATCACCGGCAGGTTCGTCTGCAGGCGGCTGTCATGCCGTCGGGTGGAGCTACGCCTCCACTTAAGGTTGAGGAACTGGGTGGTATAGTTATGGCCTTGCCCAACACGGCTCCGGGACTCGATGGAGTGAGTGCGAGAATCGTGAGGAATGTGTGGAATGCGGCACCGAGGGAATTACACTCGGTGTATGCCAAGTGTGTGGAAGAAGGGGTTTTACCCAATGTATGGAAGGACGGAAGACTGATTGTCATTCCCAAGGGTAATGACAAGCCACTCACCGACGTCAAGGCATACCGTCCAATAACGCTCCTCCCTGTTTTGGGAAAATTATTGGAACGAGTAATTTTAAGATGTGCTACCGCGATTAGCCGCGAGATATCCGTGTACCAGCACGGATTTTCTCCGGGGGCGGTCTACAGTAACAGCGCTGCGTGTACTGCTCAGCACGGCAAGGTATTCTCAGGCATACTACGTGCAAGCAATATTCTTAGATATCTCTGGCGCCTTCGACAATGCCTGGTGGCCGATGATGATGGTCAAGGCCAAAAGGGGTGGATGTCCACCCAACATTTATAGAATGTTGGTGGACTACTTCAGCTCCAGGCGTGTGGGCCTCTACATCGGAGACCGGGTAGAGTGGAAGACGTCGACCATGGGATGTCCTCAAGGCTCCGTGCTGGGCCCAAAACTGTGGAAGCCCGAGGGAGTAGCCATGACTGCCTATGCCGATGATGTTACAATCTTTATTGAATCGGGAACGAGAGCGGGTATCGAATCCAGGGCCAGAGTCACTCTGGACCTTGTACGGGAGTGGGGGCTAAGGAATCGACTGGAGTTTTCTTCCTCAAAGTCGACCACCATGACTGTTAGAGGGAAACTTCAGCGCCCCCCCCCGTTATTAAACTTGGTGGGGAATCTATTAAGACTGTGACTAACGTTAAGGTATTAGGCGTGGTTTTAGACTCGGGACTATCGTTTGTGCAACATGCATCCGATATCTCTGAAAGAGCGACCAAGGGATTCGGCAAGATGTCTCGCGTATCTACATCATCATTGTGGTGTACGATATCCGAGTTTAAAATTAATTTATAGAGGAGTGTTTGTGTCCACGCTTACGTATGCGGCGGAGTGCTGGTACGAGCGTGCATGTACACAGTTCGTAGCGTACTACTGAGATCGCAGCGATCCGCTCTTGTATTGTTAACCAAGGCGTACAGATCCACTAGCACGGCGGCCTTACCGGTGCTGGCTGGCGTTCTCCCTGCTGACCTAGAGGTCATCCGTGCTGGTAGGATGGGTATAGCACATTTGACCGCGCCCAAAGAGGAGTTGAGCAGACGGAATCGCGATATCTGGCCTGAGGTAATAGGCGCCTGGCAGGATAGATGGACGTGTGATACAAAAGGATTTGAGCTACATCGATTTTTCCCGGACGTGGCGTTGAGAATCAGTTATACCTGGGTCTCACCGGATTACCAAACCTCTCAGATTCTCACCGGACATGGATGCTTTCGGAAGAGACTGAGCGACATGAAACTGTGTGAAATTAGTATGTATGAGTGCGGTATGTCGGAGGAGAATGTTCACCATGTTCTATGGGAATGTCCTCTGTATGATGACCTAAGAGTGAAAATAATGGATGGACTAGTTCGTCCGGTTCAAGGACCAGTTTACTACTTATCAGCGATACACTATCTTGTCAGCGATGTGGTAAAGTACGGACTGTTGCGCGAGTTTGCGCATAGGTGGCACGATCGCAGGACAAGGCAGGATGAAAGGCTGGTAGGAGGGCCCGACGACGTAGGCATCAATCTGTCGTCAGCCCCAGAAGGGGGAGAATGAGGTTAAACTGGGGCAAGGAATAGATTAAATATTTGTATTTGCTCTGAGGAATTGTTTGGATTAATCCCAGCCGCCAAATTTCACGAACGCACATTGCGGCAGAACTCCCGATACCATCCACACCATCTGGATGATTGGCGGTGAATCCACCACTGTGCGATTTAGAAGATGTTTCCTTCCTCGCACGACTTCCTTGTGGAATCGATTACCATCAGCGATTTTTCCGGACTGATATGACTTAGGGACCTTCAGGAAAAGAGCGTACTCCTTTTTAAAAGGCTGGCAACGCATCTGCGATTCCCTCCCTGGTGTTGCAGCTGTTCATGGACGGCGGTAGTCACTTACCATCAGGTGAGCCGCATGCTCGTTTGCCCCCTCTCCTATAAAAAAAAGTTAGTTACTGAACAAAAACAACATAAGAAAGATCATAACCAAGACGAGCACGCTGTACTCGTATAATATATTATAACTAAAACCCTACCTTTTGGAAGACTTAATGGAATAATAAATATTCATCATACCTACATTTAAATATATTTTTATTATTGCATCCAGATGTCTCACTATTATGATTAAGTAGTGTTAAAATATTACTAAAAACCTCTGCCTTTTTGTTAATTATTTTCACTTAATGTCATGGCTGTTAGACGGGAAATGAAGCTGCAGTCTTCAGCAGATTTGCTCTTAATAAAAATTAGAATTGCCAGCGCGTATATCTCAATATGTTATGTTTCAATGAGGTATTAAAAATAAGGCACATAATTTCATGATCAATAAAAATCATTGCATATAGTAAACTTATTCTCAGTTCCAAAAAATGTAAGAAATATTATATATTACGAGTACATGTGTGTATGTTATTAAATGTTGCCGTGTAGTGGCAATTAAGAATATCCACTACCCCATATCTTCCCGTGGGTGTCGTAAAAGGCGACAAAGGGAAACAGGCTGAGATGGGCAGCAGCATCTTCCTGGTAACGGCAAAAATACAATAAAAAAAAAACTGCGGTTGCCAACCCACGCGCCAAGCGTGGCAACTATGGCAATATACCCCCCATTGATGAAAGTTACAAAGAGACGGCCCCCACTCCCCGGCGGCCCCGCTATTCCTGGCTACGGTGGTGACCATGGTAACGGCGGGGCAGGGGGTGCTAAGAATCTCCGGTGAAGGTTCGGTTGCCACCTACAACGACTTGACCTGGCAACATACAACGCACGCACCCTGAGGACTGACGAGAAGATTGTGGAGCTGGAAGAAGAGATAGACAAGTTACGCTGGCATATTATAGGATTATCCGAAGTCCGAAGAGAGGGGGAGGACACGGTAATCCTCGAATCCGGCAACTTGCTCTATTACCGGGAGGGCGACCATCTGTTCTAAGGAAGTGTCGGATTTATCGTCCACAAGTCTCTCGTTAACAACGTTGTAAAGATTGAGAGTGTTTCGACGAGGGTTGCGTACCTTATACTCAGAATCACCAAATGCTATTCGCTGAAGGTCATAAAGGTTTACGCACCAACCTCGGCACACCCCGATGAGGAGGTGGAGGAAATGTATGAGGATATCTCTAGAGCCATGCATTCCTCCAAAACCCAATATACGGTGTTAATGGGAGACTTCAATGCAAAACTAGGCACAAGAGAGAACGGTGAGCTGAAAGTAGGGAAATTTGGTATAGGGCAACGGAACCCAAGGGGCCAGCAGCTGGCCGACTTCATGGAGAAAGAGGGACTCTTTATGATGAACTCTTTCTTCCAGAAGCGGTCCTACAGGAAGTGGACCTGGTCGAGCCCCGACGGTTCGACAAAAAATGAGATTGACTTCATTATGACGACCAGACGACAACTGTTCAGTGATGTCTCAGTGATCGTGAGGGTGAAAACCGGCAGCGATCACTGAACCCGGTCACACTGAACCTAAACGTTAAGTTGGAGAGGTCTCGTCTAATGAAGTCAACGCTCCGTCCCCCTCGTGCTCTAATCCAAAGTTCCGAAACCTTTCAGCTCGAGTTACAAAACCGTTTTCAGTGCCTAGAATACTGCAATGAAGTGGACGATTTGAATGACAAGCTCGTGGAAACTGTCCATGCGGTCGGAGCTAAGTTCTGCAAGACAAGCCACAGAAGAATACAAAAACTCTCCGATCACACTCTTAATCTCATGGCTGTTAGACGGGAGATGAAGCTACATTCTTCAACAGATTTGACAGCATACAGGCAACTGAACAGACAGATCTCCAAATGCATGCGGCGGGACTTACGCAACTTCAATACAGCTCGTATTGAAGAAGCGATCGAGCGGAACCAAGGCTCCAAAGTCTTTGCCAGAGAGCTGTCTGCCAGAAAGAGCCAACTGTCAAAGCTGAAGATCGAATGTGGCAGCATCGTTTCCAGGGCACCCGAGATTTTGAGTGAGATTGAGAGGTTCTATGGGCAGCTGTACACGTCATCGTTGGAGCCGCACGCAAGTGTGAGTAACGATCCAAGAGCGAGTCTTATCCGACATTATTCCGATGATATCCCGGACGTCAGTCTGAGCGAGATTGGAATGGCTCTCCAGCACCTTAAAAACGGCAAGGCCCCAGGCAAGGATGGAATTACAGCGGAGCTTCTGAAAGCGGGTGGAAAACCGGTACTTGAAGTCCTTCAAAAGCTCTTTAATTCTGTCCTCCATGGTGGCATTACACCGGAGGCGTGGATCAGAAGTGCGGTGGTCTTGTTCTTCAAGAACGCCTTTCTTGAAGAACTACAGACCGATTTCCCTTCTGAGCCGCGTCTACGTGCTGTTTTCGAGAGTCATTACGAATCGTCTCGCGCGCAGACTTGACAACTTCCAGCCTCCCGAACAAGCTGGTTTCCGTAAAGGCTTTAGCACCGTAGACCACATACATACCCTTCGGCAAATTGTACAGAAGTCTGAGGAGTACAAATTGCCACTATGTTTGGCGTATGTGGACTATGAGAAAGCCTTTGATTCCGTCGAAATTTGGGCGGTGCTGCAGTCCCTTCAGCGATTCCAAGTTGACTGTCGGTATATCGAAGTGTTGAAGTGCTTGTAAAGTAGGGCTACGTTGGCTATCCGAGTACAGAACCAGAGTACGAAACCTATCCAACTGCAGAGAGGTGTAAGACAGGGTGACGTCATATTCCCGAAACTCTTTACCGCTGCATTGGAAGATGTTTTCAAGCTTCTGGACTGGAAAGGATACAATATCAACATCAATGGCGAGTACATCACTCACCTTCGATTTGCCGACGATATAGTCCTTATAGCAGAATCGCTGGAGGACCTAAGCACTATGCTCAATGACCTCAATAGTGTTTCCCAACGGATAGGTCTTAAGATGAACATGGACAAAACAAAGATCATGTTTAATGTCCATGTCACACCTATGCCGGTAGTTGTTGGGAACACTAAGCTCGAAGTTGTTGACGGGTATGTTTACCTGGGATAAATAGTCCGACTAGGTAAGTCCAACTTCGACCGAGAGGTCAATCGACGGATTCAACTCGGTTGGACAGCGTTCGGGAAATTACGGCACATCTTCTCGTCAGGTATACCTCAAAACTTAAAATCGAGACTGTACACCCAGTGCGTGTTGCCAGTGATGACATACGGAACTGAGACGTGGTCCTTCACTGCTGGCCGGGTGAAGAAGCTCAAGGTCGCTCAGCGAGCTATGGAGAGGGCTATCCTCGGAGTTTCTCTGCGTGATAAACTCAGAAATGAGGATA